CGAGCTGGAGGAGGAAGACGAGGCGGAGCTGGAGGCCGCTGCCGGCGGCGTGAACTGCCCGCTGCTCTCCGAACCCGAGCTCTCCCGAGCGGGCGACGATTTCTTCTTGGCCGGGCGGCTCTTGGCCCCGCTGCCGCTCTGCTGCTGCTGCCGGCACTTGGCGCGGCGGTTCTTGAACCAGACCTGCGGGGAGAAAACGGGGTGCAGGGGAGCAAGGAGCGCGGCGGGGTGAGCAGGGCCCCAGACAGCCCCGGGAGGGGCTCCTCGGCCTGCGAGCACCCAGCCACCCTCACCCCGGCACCGGTGCTCCCAGCGCCCACCCACACTGCGCACTCCTCGCACCCCCAGATATCATCCCAGCCCTGCCCGGCCGCCCCGCAGCCTGCCAAAAGCAAGGATGGCCAGGGTCAAAGGCTGCAGCGTCCCAGCTCGTGCATATCCCTGACACAGTGACAAAATATGGATTTGGGGGACAAATCTGCATCGGGTGCTGCCTGCACATCCCGACCCCCTGGGTATCCATTGACCCTTGCCCAAAGGAAATATCTCTGGGAAGCACCTACCGGGTGGTAGGGCTGCCGTGCCCTGGAGCAGGTGGAGGGTGACGGAAAAAATATTAATAAAAATAAAAGTAATACAAGAGAATAAAAAATAAAAGATAAATGCTCCCTCTTTGGCCAAATGTCCCCAGAGTGGGACAGACGAGCAGATGGGAACCCCCACGCATCCGTGGCCCGAGGAAACAGGGTTAAGTGTGGATGGAGCAGCCGGTCCGCACAGCACCCGCTGAGCTGGGGTGCTTCTGCATCCCCCATCCCACAGCGGAGCAGGATTCCCCACGCAGGTCCGGTACCTGGACTCGGGATTCGGGCAGGTTGATCTTCAGGGCGACCTCCTCCCGCATGAAGATGTCAGGGTAGCGGGTCTTGGCGAAGAGCGCCTCCAGCACGTCCAGCTGCGAGCGGGTGAAGGTGGTGCGCTCCCTCCGCTGCTTCCGCGGGGTGGCTGCGGGATGAGCGCCGGTCACGCTGGGCCCCCACGCACCT